CTGCAACCAGAACACTCAATAACCGCTANGCAGGGGCTGCGATCGCCAAACAACTACCTTGCTATCTCCAAGAGAATCTGCAACCAGAACACTCAATAACTGCTACCGTGTCTAGCTATACCTGAATCTGCACATAAGGTGCAGGGAGTAACGTGAGTACGCCAANATATGTTGCAGGCGGGCAACCCCGATCCACACTCATCCTCACAAATTAGGCCCTCGGCCTCATTCAGTCATAAAGTATGCTGCAGGCGGGCAGCCCCGATCCACACTCATCCTTACAAATCAAGCCACTTGGGCATTTCAGTAAAATAGGGCATTCGGCCCAAAACATTTATATGCATTAAAATAAAGTCATAAAACTGAGTTATGCGGTAAACAAATATAAACATTACTGAGTATAGATTTTCAATCGAAAGCAGTGAGAGAATGGTAAGAAATAGCCCCTAAGGGTCCAAACAGCATTGGCGCAAGGCCCAAACATGGCATTCAACCCAATTTACAGAAATTCTTTCTAAAACATATAAGTATCAAATGGTTTCGACAAAGTATGCAACTTTACAGTTGCTACGGGACGGACTAAGTCACAAATCCCTAACAGTGCACGCTCACACGCCCGTCACCTAGCATGTGCGTCACTTCAAAATAATAGAATGATACAAAATCCGGGGTTTCATACCCTCAGGACTAGATTTACAATCGTTACTTACCTCAAACCCGTCAAATCTCTAACCCGCAATGATCTTGCCTCTGGACTCGGCCTCCAAATGCTCCAAATCTATTCACAATCAGTACAATACCATCAATACGCGCTAATGGAATGAATTCCACAATAAAAACTACAAAAATTAGACCAAAATCCGAAATTGGCTCAAACTCGGCCCCCGGGCCCACGTCTCAAAATCCGACAAAATTCACAAAACTAGAAAGCTCATTCACTCACGAGTCTAACTATACTAAATTCATCAAAATCCGACATCGTTTGGTCCTTCAAATCCTTAAATTACCCTCAAAAAATTCCAAGCCCTAACCCCTTGTTTTCACAAATTGCCATGACTAAAACAATGAGAAATCACCATATATACAAGTATTAGGGCTCAAGTAACTTACCTCAACGAAATCCCCTTGATTCCCTCTTCAAACCTCTCCCAAAAGCTCCAAAAACCGAGTTGAAATTGTGAAGAATGACCAAAATTCGCGAAGGGTTCTATTTATGGTTTCTGCCCAGATTTTTCGCACCTGCGGCCATTTTCTCGCACCCGCGCGACCGCACCTGCGGTCCAAGAAGCCGCACCCGCGCAACTCACTTAATCACCCAGATTTCGCACCTGCGGACCCCTTCCTCGCACCTGCGGACTCGCATCTGCGGTCCCAGGTGCGCATCTGCGAAACCAACCCAAACTCCTCATCTCCGCATCTGCGCTCAAAGCCTCGTACCTGCGGGCTCGCAGATGCGGCCAATTCTTCGCACCTGCGTTCCCAGCCTTGGTCCAGCATCTCCCGCACCTGCGCACTCCCCACGCGTACCAACGGCCTCGCACCTGCGACCCTTTCTTTCGCAGGTGCGGAAATAGCAGAAGGAGCAGCTCGAGCTGTAATTTTCCAACTTCAACAAATCCGTTAACCACCCGGAATCACCCCGAGGCCCTCGGTACCTCAACCAAAAATACCAGCAAGTCATATATCAACATACCAACTTAGTCAAACCTTCGAATCACTCAAAACAACATCAAATCATCAAATTACCGTCGGATTCAAGCCTAAGAACTTCTAAATTCCCAAATTCGACAACCGATGCCAAAACCAACCAAACCACGTCCGAATGTCCTCAAATTTTGCACACACGTCACAAATGACACTATGAACCTGCTCCAACTTCCGAAATTCCATTCCGACCCCGATATCAAATTTTTCACTACCGACTGAAATCGTCAAATTTTCAATTTCGCCAATTCAAGCCTAATTCTACCACGGACCTCCAAATCACATTCCGGACGCACTCCTAAGTCCAAAATCACCTAACGGAGCTAACAGAATCATCAGAATTCAAATCTGAGATCTTTTACACATAGGTCAACATCCAGTTTACTTTTCCAACTTAAGTTTCTACTTAAGAGACTAAGTGTCTCAATTCACTCCGAGTTTCTTTCGGACCCGAACCAACTAACCCGATATAACATAATATAGCTGAATAACACACAAAAAAGTAGAAATGGGGAAAACGGGGCTATAACTCTTGAAATGACCGGCCGGATCGTTACACTAACTGTAGTGTTGGGCGCCATCATGACATATATGTGAAATTGGGTCGTGACATGAAGTCCACCATTGAAGGCCATTCAAAGCTTTGCTTTTGAAAATATGATTTTTTGAGTTTGTTAGTTGTTTGGATTGGGTATTGTTCTAATTGATTGACAATGTCAATCAATTATTCAAAATTTAAATTTGAAGTGATTTGGAGTAGATTTGAGCAATATTTGAGTTAAATTTCAGAAAAAACGCAAGGAAGAAGACGAAGTCAGTTTTTAAGTCAGTTTTTTGTATAATTATGTATAATCTTGTATAATAGTGTATATGAGTGTATAAACACATCTTATACACTATTATACACTTTTATACACCTTTATACAAGCGTCTGTAGACGATCTTCTTCCACGATTTTCAGTTGTAATTCTTGTTCAAAACCAATCCAAATCTGACTTCAAATTTTATATACAACCTCCTTATACTATTTCTAACAAGTCTAAATAACACCCACTCCAAATTTCTTACAAAATCAAATTCGGAATTTAAACCCACATATTTAAGTTTATTAAAAATCTAATTTTCACCATCCAAATGGATTTGGTTTGTTGAACTAATATTTGAGTCACAGTTACTGATTCGAAAATTAACTTAAAAGTTTGAGCAATCTTTTTTAAAAATTAAATAGTAATTTCGAGAACCTATTGGAATTGGATATTGAATATTAGCCTATTATTTTTGGACTAGTTGGTTGTAAATTGAAATGTGAGCTATAAAATTGAAAAATATGGAGCCCAATTGTTCCTATGCGAAATTTTCCCCAAATTTTATCGACTTACGATATTGGTTAGTGCAAGTGAGCTCAATGTTTGCGTTACGTGAGTGAAACACAAATTTGGCTACTTAAAAAACAAACTAAAGGAAAAATAAAGATTTTGGATTACAGTTTCAATGTGTAATTTCAGATATTTATACCAAAAAGCCCACCTTACTAAACTACGGTAGTCTCATCAAAGAAAAAGATTCGTATTCAAATCAACACCAAAAAAAATAGTCATTACCAAATATTTAGGCATTTAACTCATTGATTAAGTATATTTATGTGCTACTCACTAGGTTTTTGTTACTCTATCTAATTAATTAGGTTGGATTAGTAAGCCATATGTTTACATCAATCTTCATATATCTAGTAATGACAATGCTAGTGGTATGTATTTCTTCATCCTTAGCTGAATATCTTGACGAGGCTCGAGCTCTGAATATATAGTCGTTGCATGTAGCGTTTTGCCCATAATTAAACTTTTCGATACGAATTCAGATTAGTCGGACCCTAAAACGCATACGAAACGTGAGTGAGAGACCAAAAAAAGAATCTTCATATGAAGAAGTGGAACCATGATTTCAAGTTTATGTGTTCGAAATTCTAATCGTTTTAAGTTACTGGGTTCTAAATTAAATAATTTTATATATTTAATTATTTTTTAAAGACAAATACAATATTCGAATCAAATCTACTGGATTCAACCGAACTCGCTCCAGATACTGTGGCTCCGCACCTGTTCATATAGTAAGTAGAGTATTTATGTAACACTCATGATGCACATTGTTTTGCTATTATCCTTCAGCACGTTTTATGTCAAATTCTGACAAATGCAGTAACCGTTGGTTGACTCTCCTAATAATTAGTTAACGTAAGTTTCTCGAAAGCATGGATTAGAATAATTAAGAAATTAGAGGACGAAATCATAATTTTCAAAAGAAAGTGATCGTTAGAAAAATATTGCAATTAGTGGACTTCTTAACGGTAATGATTCTTGTCTATTGACAGCTCAATTACTGGCTAATATTGTTAATTAATTTGGATCACACAACTTTTGGACGGATAAAACAACCACTCCATAAAGGTAGTTTTGGTTCAAATATAAATTTGATGGGTTCACGAACACAATATATTTTTAAAATTTTAGCTTCAAATATGTTATTTATTACAATCTTAGTGCCTTCAAAAAATATTATTTAATTACAATTTTAGTAATTTCTCATATTTATATTTATGTTTCATGTCAAAAATATTAAATTTTACTAAAACCAATAAATATAAACTGATCTCTGAATGATTAGATGGACATGACGAATTCGAATTTTAATATCATATATAAAGTTTGGTATTCGAGATTTCGCGTAGAAAGTAAAAATCCCACAATAGATTTTTCCCAATAATAAACAAAAATCACTAACTGTAGGTATACTTATTTTTTTTCTTCCATTTATTAATTTTTATCTTTAAAGAGTGTGATAGTGTAGGAGATTAGGAGTCACCGTCAAGAATTATGATGCCATAAATACAATTCTTTATCGTTAATCACATTTTTCAAGTTCGAACCTTAAAAACGAGAAAATCCTAAAAAAAAGTAATTTATTTTTTAATGAATCTTACAATGTATAAATCAGAACTGTTAGGAGCCCAAAAATAATTAAACAAAATATAAAATTGATCGATTGACTGAAACTAATTATATTTGCTATCCAAAAAGTACATAAAATATATATATATTATATGTATATAATATATATATATATATATATATATATATTATATATTATCGACTATTATTTTTGGGACCAATTAAATTATATATTTTTCAAAATAATTAGGTGCAGGAAACTAATGCAAGGGTGTCAAAGGAAAAGAACAGAAAAAAGTGTCCATTGGCAGCCTGTACTTCCATTATTATTTTCCTTATTAACAAACACACAAATAATCAATTCTTTTTTTCCTCTCTTTCTCATCCCTTCTTTTCCCTTTTTTTTTTTCCCCTTTCAAGAACCCTAAACCATCCCAAATCCAATTTCTTTTCCCTCTATGTATTTTCTGTCCCTTGTTAAAAACTCAACTTGAGAGCTATCAGTTTTCAATTTCAGTTATTTGCAAAAGTAGCCACTTTTAATCTCTATTTTGTTAAAAATGGTGTGATTTCTGGGTAAATTGTCAATTTTTGCAGAGTTGGGTATTGTTTTAATATCTTTGATCTGCCGGTGAGGAATTTGTTTGGGGTTCTAATCCGGCAATAAACGAAGAAGAAGAAGAATAAGAGAAAATTGGAGGCCCCAAAAATGGCGAATTTGGACTTGCAAATGAACCCACAAATGGAGCAGATCCATGGAGAAATTCGCGATAATTTCCGAGCCCTAGCGTAAATTCTCCATTCTTTTTCTTATTCTTTTTTCATTTAATGAATAGTTGAATACTGTTGCTTTTTTTTTTTCTTCTTTCTTTCCATTTTTGATTTGCATTATGTATTTTTAGATATAATAATTTGAAATAAAAGGGGCCTAAATGAAGTGGGACAGATATAGAGGATTCATATAGCCGACCCCAACTAATTTTGGATTGAGTCATAGTTATTTTTTTTAATGGTGTTTGGGCTAGCTTGCACTCACCTCAATTATTCCACCGGGTATACCTTACAGGTACCGGGGTAACTTTGCACACTAAAGCTTAGGGAAATGGGAAGAAACCACCTACTGTTTTTTTGCCTCTGCTTGGGTTTAGTGGTAGTTATTTCTTGTTGTAGAGATAAAAATGGAAACTTTCAAGCTTGTACTGTAGGATAGAGCAGTTAATTGAGATATGATTGAAGTTATTGTAGTTGTTGTTTCTTGTTGTAGAGATAATAATGGAATCTTTCAGGCTTGTACTTTAGGATAGAGCAATTAATGGAGATATTATAGAATATAATGAAAACTGTCTGCCTTTCCTTTGTGAGAATGGCTCTGAATTTAATTGCTTTATATTCTTATGCTTCAACAGTGAAATGAGAGAAGTCTCCCTCTCATAGCAGTATAGCTATAATGAAAAACCCGGATGGTTAAATCTTTATTTTTTTCCTATTTTGGTGTCTTGGGTGGAACTCCACCTATGTGCATGTGCAAAAGCATAGAACTTGGATAAGAAAAGATGGTTGTGGTTGGTTAATGGTAGACTAAACAAATAGTCTAATGATATAGGGAATTCTTAATGCCAACCCAGCTAATTTGGGGTTGAGGTTTGGGTGATTCATTTATTTGAAGTTATGGGTGGAGCTCAGCCTACATGCATGTGCAAAAGCATAAAGCCTGGATACAGGAAAAAGTGTCGTGGTAGGTTGACGACTAGGCTAAACAAATAGTCTAATTATGATACAGAGGATTTTGTATAGCCCATTCCAACTAGTTTGGCACTGAAGGTTAGTTAATTGATTGATTTGAACTTGGGGTTTGGTTGGGTGTCAGTTAGAGATTTAAGTTAGTTTGCGGTGGAGCTCCTTTGAGAGATGTCTTCTAACTTGTCATGAATTCTGAGGTGGTTTCAGTATCTGCTGAGTCATTATCTTTGTTGGTTAGTAAATCTGTTAAGTTATTATAGTAGCTTAAACTCTTTTTTCTGAGGAATGATTGTCAAGTTATTGCTCTTGATTTAGGAGCCCCATTTTACTATTTTAGCTAGTCAAATAATCTAATGCTATGGCCCCCAGATGTATTATAGATGAGACAAAAAAATGTCAGAGACTGAATTGCTAAATGAATCATCTTAACGGAGAATGAGAAACTAGGCCGTTTACTAAGTGTACTGTACGTTGGACCAATAACAGATAATAGGAGATTATGATATTGCAAATTAATGCTCTTTCATTTGTTACCCGTGTCACCCATAATTGCTGTTTGCTTCTCTGTCCATTAAAGTGCTTTTCGTAACTTTTTGGTTAAAATAGTAAAATATTGAAGGATGATATGACACCGCCAAGGTTTATAGTCCAGCAGTATCAGTGGGATTCTTCCAAACTATAGGTATTGGTTCGATTTCGATCCCAGTACCCACTCTCCCCGGCTATGAATACATGCATAATTGAAACTTGCTGTAGTCT